ATCATCAAGGTTCTTTTTTAGGATGTGAAACATTAAAAATGAAGGAAAGAAAGAAAAGGTGGGGTGGGGGAGAAGAGAAATGAACAAGGAAAAGAAAGCAAGAAAGGAAAAACAGCAGTGTCTTCCACAGCTGGACCACATTACCAGAAATTAGCCCAGAGATGGTAGTTAAAGGGAGAGTGAAAGCCAGATTCACTTCTCTGGTGCTTAGAGTTTGGTGACAAAAACACATCCTTATAATACATCTGCATTCTTTGTAGCAAAAGGAGAGGATGAGAACAAAGAAAAGGAGAAGTGGGGGGGGGAGGAGAAAATAATGAAGAAAAAGAGGCAGGCTGAGCAGAAAGAAGGAATAAGCAAGCTCCCAGATTAGGTTGACTTAAGTAAATACAAAAACTTTGTGCAGCGCCAGCATTAATGAGATTTGGGATGCTAAAACACTGTGAATTAAGTATAGAACAGGGCCATAGATGCCCAAGCTATTCTTGAAAGGGATGTCTTTTTTTTTTTTTTAATTTCTTTATTTTTGACAATCTTTACATGGTTAATTAAGGCACAAAGGTTCAAGGGCTACAAGAAAGTACATAAAACTAGTATTTTCACACACTCTTTTTTTCTGTATCTGGGTAAAGGGGAGATACAGGGAGAAGCCCCACCCAGCCTCCCACCCAGCCCAGATCCCTGATGTGGGGCATGCTCCGAGGGTCTTGCTCAAGTGGTTTTGATAGCTCAACAGTTGTGAACTGCTGCCATTCTCTGAAAGGGATGTCTTAATAATATGTAGCTTAACTGGTAAGGACTCTGTTCAGCACTTTTACATGACTGTCTGCTTGTGGCCTGAAACAGAAACTGCCCAGTAGCTGTGGCCTCCCACCTGGGACCACAGGACTTGGGGAGCCTAAAACCTTAGGTGGGCCTGCATTATTGTAGAGGAAAAATGAAGCTACTTTATTAAATGACTTAGTACTACCTATGTTATAGACAGAGGACAGCTGTCTGAGCTGGGAAATCTTGGGAAATCATGACGGCCATCCCTTTATCTAAAGGACAATGTTGCGCAAGCATGTCCTGCAGCCACAGGTCCCTGTTGCATGAGGCTATCTTGCAACCAAAGCCCAATGTCATTCCAGTGTTCTGTTCTCACCCACAGGTACTGTCACATTGAACAGAAATGCTCCTGTCCCTAGTGGGCATCCTACACCCACAGGACACTGTTATTCGAAGTTATCCCTACAACCAAATGCTTTAGTTGCCATTGGCATGAGGCCATCCCTGCAACTAAAGGACCCTATCTCATGAGGCCTTCCCTGCACACACAGGTCCCTGTTGCATGAGGCTGTCCTGCAACCAAAGGCTGAAGTCACACAAGGCTGTCCTTATTCACAGGCACTGTTGTACAAGGCCATCCCCACAAACAAAGGCCAGTGCTGCACAAGGCCATGCCTGTAACCAGAGGCCAATGGCACATGAGTGCAACCTGCACCCATAAGTCCTTGTCACAAGAGGCCATCCATGTACCTAATGGCTTCTGTTGGCCCAGCTCCTCCTGCATGCACAGATGCTTTTTGCATGTAAATACCATGAGCAGGCCCATGTCTCTAAAGGCCATCCATAATCCATTTCCCTATACCACAGATCTCTATTGCATGAAGTGATGCCTACAGCCCAAGTCCTCTGTGACACTAGCTGTCAGAACACAGCCCATAGGAAAGCTGGGACAGCAGAGGCCTGTGGGATCCTGTTGAGAAGAGGCTCCAGGAAAGAGCAGGCAGAAGGCCTCTCCCCCACAGTGTGCTCTTGCCCCCAGTGAGTCCTTGGATGTGTTTTTGTGCTCTCCCTGAAGATAGGCAGCCATCTGTGCTCTGTCTAGTCAATCAAGGATGGACAGTATTATCTATTCCCTGTTTCAATAACTCTGACTAGGTCGCCTTGTTAGCTTCTTTGTTGTCTCTGTGTTCTTAGACATGATCTAATTCTGAATTATGTCTGAATCATTGTTTCATGAAATGTATAAAAACCAAGACCCTGGAAATAAATTTTGTCAGTTGCCAAAAGAGCACTGTCCCCTCATTTCTTCAGGTTGCATCTCTTCCCCAGGAACCCACAAGGTAAACTTGCACAACCCTAACAAAGAAAGATGATCCTAAATGGGCTCAACATCAACACGTAAATATCATTTGCATAAGACAAGGGAACTGGCACAAAGGACACAGCCAGCTTTTAGGAACAGGTATCACCCCCTCGGGTAACAGCCAGAGAGGAGAAAAACAGTGCTTCAAATTTAGCTACCTGAATTCAGGCTAGACAGTTTTTCTAAAGCAAATCTTAAGAAAGGAAATTTAAAGTAACATATCTTAGAATGCTTACAAAAGGTATCACTCAACATATTTAAATCCATGAAATGTGAGGTTGTATATGTTTAGTCTGCCTCTATTTTTATTAAAAGGTTTATTTATTTGAAAGGCATAACTAGAGAGAAGGAGCAACAGAGAGATCTTTCTCTGGCAGTTCACTGCACAAATGGCTGCAATGGCTGGCGGTGGGCTGGTCTGAGGCCAACAGCCAGAAGTTTCTTCCAGGTCTGTTCTGTGGGAGTGGGGGTCCAAGTGCTTCTGTCTCTGGTGCATGAGCAAGGAGCTGAATAAAAGATGGAGTATCCATGACTCAAATTGGTGCACATGCGGGGTGCTGGCACTGAAGGCAGGAGTCTTACCCACTGCACATAATACAAGCTTTGCCATCCTGTCTTTATCTCTCAAAAAAAATATTAATCATGTGCTTTCTGATATTTGTTCAGCTTCCCAAATAAAGTAAGAATTAGGTATGATATAGGCAATAAATGAATGAATGGTTCTCTCAAAAAGTAGCATTTAGAGTGTGGTCCACAACACATATTCAGCGTTCAGAAAGCTCCCTTTTATTACATTCATTCAGGACCCTCCTTAGGCTGGCTGTGCTCAGGACACACTTTGTAGAGTCCTATCTTATGATCCTCTGTGCTGTGCACTGATGGGGAATAGATGTAAACATTTATGTAGCAGGTAGAACAAGAAGTTTTCTCAGGAGCATAGCTTATTCCATAATAATTCAGAAACAAACTAACATTCATTATTGCTTGACTTTCTAAAAATAAGAACAACTTTAATATTAAGTATGTAATGTCACCCAACTACCTGCACATGATCAACTACATGATGGACAAACTGGAGGAGATGCTGCTCTTCTTGGGTGGGCTTGCAATGAAATTCATGGCCACGTTGTAGTAAGTATTAATTCAGTCTGTACATGGATTAGCTGTGGAAGGGCATAGTCACTTGCAATGTCTAGGACAGAGAGAAATTTTCTCCCAGACTATTTTGGAAGGGAAACATTGGTCCTATTCATGTAACAAGGTAATGACTAACATTTTGACTCCAACAAGAACTCATTCAACGTGTTTTAATTCTGAATCTTCATGTAAAAATAAATATTGTGGCTCTTATTCACAAATGATACTCTTGTCTCTGGGCCAACATATTCATCCACATGTAAGTAATCTTCAGGATAATTTAGTTAGAATCCTGCTACTTGTTACATTTGATTAGAACAGGAAGCTCTAGAACTCCTCTGGGGATTAACACTTTTTTCAACTTGTGGAGACTGAGGCTTTCAGCAGCTAAATAACTTCCAGGATCTCATAGCTTGCATCCCATGGTCATAATTCAGTGCTGATAGTCTACACCAGCTTCTCTTTAATGTACGACGCACTTCCCATCACTGTGATATTGCTGTACAGATGGAATCCTTCCAGAGACCAGAAATGAGGAAGGCAGTACTTGAGCCACTGCCTTCTGGTGTGTTTATACATGAACGGATAGTTTCAATGTAGTGTGGACATTTCATGTATTCATTTTTTCTCCTGTTTCTTTGGTTGTAGTTATTCAGGAATAAGATGTGGTTATTCAGGAATAATAAAACTTTCACCAATGGTGCTTTGCCATTATATATATTTTTCATTTTTTATGTTGTGATTTAAATGTAAATTTCTGAAAATAACGCTTTCCAACAATTGCCCTTGTAAGAATAAATGTGTTATGAGACCATTCTCATGTAGATGCTGACCAGCCTCCTGCTGCCTCCCACCTGAGTGCAGAGGACTCCTCTGTGCTGGTCATGCTCTGCTCTTCATGTGAAGACTGGTTATGAGTGTGCTCAGGGGACAAATGTTTGCTTTTCTGTACTTTTATGTGCATTTCCTTGGTATGCATACTGTATATCAGTAAAAAGTTATAAAATGGCCTTGAAGAATGAAGTCATTCTAAAGTCCCCTAATTTCCATGCATGTTTAGTTTATCATTAAGGAAGCTACAGATGACATTTTCACCTTTTTCTCCTTTCTAGACTATCAGCTGGAAGTCACAGTACTCTCAGGTTTTCCTATATGGTGGTCACTTTACTGAGTGCCAAGGAAACTGCTCCGCTCATAACCAGAGAGGGGCCAGGGCCTGCAATCCAAGTAGGAATATTTTATAGAGTGTGTCTGCTGCTCAAACTGCTCATCATGTGGGCCATGTTTCTAGCCCATGTCTTCATTTGTTGCAATGTTTCCAACTCATAGTTTAATCTTTATGAGTTCATCTATTTGATATACTTTAAAAATATTAGCTACATTGATTGATCTGAAATGAGTTATTAGCTACATAATCTACTTTATACTGTTGAATTTGATTAGAAACATCGACATATCCCAAGAGGAGGATCATGCCAGGATCATTCTCTTTCATGTCTTTGCTGTAGACATCAACAACCACACATCAGTAAATAAACTTCCAATTCTGCCTGGAATTGCATAAACTTGTACTTTTAAGCCTTTCTTTTTGACAAATTTTAGGAACATTCAGCTCCATAAAGTTAAGTGAAATTATGTTACTCAATGATTTTTTTTCCATTTTCCTTCTCTGTTACTCTGCAATTCCAATTTCATGAACATTTAAGTCTTTTGGTTTGTCTACAGTCTGAAGAGATGTGTTAACAGGATACTGCCTCCTGATGTTTTCAGATTCATTGACTTCTCGTCAGGTTAATCGTATTTCCAAGCTGACTTCTCATCAGGTTAATCGTATTTCCAAGCTGAGCCAGTAAAGCTTTCTTTTAGATATGTTCAGGTAAAGCAACATTGTCTTCTATTTCCACTTTCCCTAAATAATGTATGCTTTATTTTTAAACACCATCTTACTTTCAAAAGGATGAACACTGAATGTTTTTAACTGTTCAGAAAGTAAAGAGGATGTTGAAAAATACATATATCCTTCTAATATATTTTTCTATTTCCTGTTTTCTAAATGCCATGCAAACCTGCTGATTTTAAAATTATAGAAATTATGATTATGAACATTTGTAAAGCTTCTTTTTAAATTTTATAAAAATATTGGTAGAGTTTTAAAAGTCTATTTAAGGACTTTCAGAAATCCATGAAAAAACTGAGAACTTTCAATGAACTCTAAGGCCTACTGTTTGCACTTTCCAAAATATTTTATGTTAATTATCTCTTTTTATTCCTAATTTTTGTGACCTATGTCCTGTAAGTGTGAATGTCTGCTTCTATTGCTTAATATTTGTTTACGCTTTTATTTTCTCAAAGCATGCAGACCTTGTTACAGATTACTGATGTTATGAAACGGACAGGCATAGTACTGTTGTGCCCGGACTGGTTCCAAAGCTGTGGGATGGGTCCACAATTCCCAGGACAGTGGAAACTGCAAGTGGCCAAGGAGCTGTGAGCAGGCGGGGCTTCCTGGACCACAACTCGGCCAGGCACCGCAGGTGGGCAGCAAGCAGGTGGGGACGGGGTCTCAGAATTGGTCGTGACCCTGGACAGTGTTATAGCTCAGTGGTCACCAGCCGGTAGCTGCTCTGGTCCACATACGGCTCTGCAGGGTTCTGGTAGTCTCTGGTCGGTGTTGCAGCTCTACAGCCAGAGGCGACCTGTGGCCGTCACAGCTTTGAGCAGTAGCAAGCCTCCACCACTGCGGTCATGGTCACTGCCCCGGTTTCTGTGGCCGCCGCCTCCACCACTGCTGCCCCCTATGCAGGTGCCATTGACGTGGTATCTGTCTCCACAGCCACTGCTGCTGGGCTTCCCGGAAGAATCACCAGGAAGCAGATGTTATTCGGGCATGCCCAGCTCTATGAAGAAGAGGAAAGATCCCTAGTCTCCAAACTTTAGGGTTTTTGTACAAAAGTCAGCTAATCAGAGGGTTAGTTTTCAGTATTCTACATTTGTATGGGATTTTACACTATTGGTTAATTCAAAAGGTAGGTGGGGGGTTCAGGGTGATAGGGCAAGTGTCCGTAGGCAGGATGGTCCCCTCAGGGTGCCTGGGCAAAAGTCCCCTAAATTGTCAGGCCTGGGGTCACACAATCTCTTACCAGAGCAAACAAAGCAGAAGTTACAGAAGCAGGAATACAGCAATTAGCACCGAGTAGGGGCAAATGGTTAAAATTTTGGGCTGTGGGTTCCTCAGTACAACTTCTTAGACACTCATTATTTAAAGACACTGCTGTGGTCCTGGCACAGTAGCCTAGCTGCTGAGTCCTCACCTTGCAAGAAACAGGATCCACCCATATGGGTGCCAGTTCATCTACTCCACTTCTCCAGCTCCCTGTTGGTGGCCTGGGAAAGCAGTAGAGAATGGCCCAAAGCACCTGCACCTGAATTCGAGACCTGAAGGAAGCTTCTGGCTCTGGGCTTCAGATTGGCTCAGCCGTGGCCATTGTGGCTGCTTGGGGAGTGAATTAATGGATGAACGATCTTCCTTCTCTCTCTCTCCTCCTCTTTGTATATCTGGCTTTCCAATAAAAATAAATAAATCTTAAAAAAAAAAAAACAGAACATTGCTGCTTGCAGCTCAGATGGGTCAGCACATACCTTCTCAATCCTCTTCAGCCCTTTCAGGTGATTTTGATGAATTTTCTCCCTATTTTTGTGGAGTTGTCTTTTGCCGGGGACCAGAGAACTGCCGAACAGCAGGAGTGACTCCATTTTGTTATTTCCTCATTTTGTAATGGTCTTGGAATGCTAGATCCAGTTATCTTTCACCCAGATTCCTCGTAATCTTTTACCTGTAATTGTTCACCCAAGATAACGGTTGTCCTGGTGACCTCTGCCCTATCTGGCCCACATCCTGCTGTAAAACTCCCCCCACCCAGCCTTTAGCTGCGGCTTAAATACTGCCTGAGAAAATAAAGTTTTCGGAGCTTGATCAGACCTCCTGTCTTGCTCCCATTCTTCGTGTCTCCTGTCCCCCCCAATCATCGGTTCTCTCCCCAGGTCTCCGTTGAAGACCCCGCGGGCCGGGGCACTTGGCGCCCAACGTGGGGCCTGGGGAACGGGCCCCCCGACGATCGTCCGCCTTCCCACGGCCGTGGACACATTGAACCGCCGCGAGAGTGAATCGTGAGTGAAGGTTCGCGTAGAGCTGCCGCGGGAGCGCCTAGTGAGTGAAGGTTCAGATAGAGCCGCCGCGAAAGCGTCTCGTGAGTGAAGGCTCGCATTGTGATTGCCGCAGGAGCACCCGACCTGAAGGCTGATCCGGAGGTAAATTGGCGTGACGCAATGGGACAGGCATTAAATAAGCATGACTTATTTAGGGCCTCAAGGAGGCCATCAAGGCACGAAGAATTAGGGTTAAGAGAAAAGAAACTTGGCTGGTAAACAGCTTCAGCGCAGCATCTTCCAAGAGAAGCACATTGTCAGAGAAGTGGTGGCTCTAGGTGAACCTCAAAGAAAAGAAGATGACATTAGGTACAGTATTCCTCCTCTCGAACGGGAGTGTACCCTGCGGAAGTGACCCTTGGCACCCCGCAGCTCTGCACGAACGTGGGGACCCCCCGGCCACGGCGTAGCTACGGTCGAATCCCCTGAGAGGTTGTAAGGGAAGGGAGGTGTTAGGTGTCCAATTGGCTTCTTTACTATCCTCTCATCCTCTGCCTTGAGAGACGGCCGTGGATGCGTGGCTCTGGGGTGAACCTGTCTGAGGACTGACGGTTTCTGGCCGAGGCAACACTTCGGTGTCACCCGAAACTCTGCAGGGGATCCCCTGGGCCCGACAGCCCGACTGGGTATCCGAGTGCCACTCTCCTCTCTGCTGTCTTTCTTAAGCCATAGGCAATAATGGTGGGGAAATTGATGATCCCGCGCTTAAGGCGCTAACATACATTCTGAAGTTCTGAGGGTTAGAAATCTCAGATGCTCAGGCAGTCAAGGTCTGAGGGACTGTTGTCAGATTGGCACCGTGGTTAACATTGCTTAATTTATTTGCCTGTAATACTTTGAAACTGGAGAGCAAAGCTGGCCCTGAACCACCTTAGCCACCCCAACAAGAGCTTCTGGGAAGCTCAGAGAGCAGGAAACCACCCCCAGTTCTAGGGGAGTCGAGAACACAGCCCCAGGTGCAAGCCTTCTAGTGGGGTTCCTCCAGCCAGTCCAGGATTTTCCCATTGTTAACCATGAAGGGAACCGCCCAGCGGCGTGATATCCCTGGAATGCAGGAGATTTAAGAAAGCTGTGGCAGAAATGAGCCTAACTCACCCTGGGCCAAGACTAGTCTTTAGGGTCTTGCCCATAAACCCTGTATCCCGGCAGTTTGGATAATATTTTAGGAGCCTGTACAACTCAGGAAGTGCAAGTAGTCTGGGAAAAGGTAAAAGAGCTTTTAGAGAGAGCTAACATGAATGTCTCCTCAGAGAAGGTGCAAATGATCCCCCTCTTTTTAAGATTTTAGGGACAGTATTATGTTTTGAAAAGGCCTCCCCCTTGAAACCCTAGCTAAGCGTTAAGGAATAATATTCACTAGTAGATTTTCAAAAGCTTCTTGGAGAGGTCAGTTGGCTATGCCATTGACTACCCATGTATACAGGACAATTACTTCCATTATTTGAAAAGGCAAAATGCTAGGAGACTGAGTTTCCCTCATCTACAAGCCTTACAGGAGACTCGAGAGGCCCTGAACAAGGCTACTTGCTCACTATTGTTCTAAGAAAGAGTTATAAGTGAGGACATTTTCAAATTCTTCCGTGCTTATGGCTGCCCTTGTCCAGGAGAGCAGTCCCCTCCAGTGGGTCCATTGATCGGTTGGAGAGGCGCCCAGAGTTAATACTTGGCCCTATCAACTGGCAGATCTAATTCAGGAGGTCAGAGAGCTAGCCCTTAGGTGTTAAGACTTTGAACCAGCAAACCTTGTTGTCCCTTATTGAATGAGTGATTTTGAATGACAGACAGGCTGGCAGCCTCCCATGAAGGTTATCTCAGCGCCATTGACTACCATTATGGGCCATATAGGTGGGTCACCTCCTTCAATCACTTAGATTGGGAAAATTCTGCCCTTTTACCAACAAACCATGAGGATGGAGGAAGGGAAGGGGCCACAGCAGAGGTTTTTCTGTCTAATCCTGTCTATATGACCTATTTTGAGCCATGGCAAGGATCAGCACAGTATAAGGTACTATTTGTTGTAGTTTTAGCAGAACTTCTCTCAAAAGTTGAAGAATCCTTTAATCTGTTCTCCAACAGCCTTAATGTTGTAAATTTGCTCCCAGAATTGGCTCAGGAATACACAAGGTCGGAATATAATCCTATCATCCCTCATGATCTAGGCCCAAACATTGCTGTGAGGGCAAGCCCATCCCCCTTTGTCTGTAGGTCTCCATTTGCTCTCCTCACTGGGTAGCAGACAGAGATATCCTCTCCATTGTAGCTGCTTTAACCTTTGGCCTAACCTGCTCTCCCAGTCTCTCTGGACTTAACCACACCCAGTCACCTTCAGGATCTAAATTTCTCTAGCTCCACCTCATAGCCCTAACCCCTAGCTGAGAGGAGCCAGGTAAGAGATAAACGATTAACATTCATTAAAAAAAAAAAAAATCGGAAACTTGTTCTGTAACCTGATTTAGCAGTTATATACAAAAGTATACAGAGTGGTCCAAATGCACTGTTAAATTAACCTAAAGCATGAGATGAACCTATGTACTTGTTTTACAAATATGTCTAGGTTAAAGTATGTCGAAGAAGAGGTTGGAAATCGCAAAAGGTTTAAGAGTTGTATGTCTTTGTTTTGATGTGTTTAGTGATTGTGCATGTTTGTTTAGTCTTTATTGTTGGTGTTCT